AAAAAAACAGAACCCTGAGAAATTAAAGAGTGCTACGATAACAAAGAGAAGCCGAGCGAAGCTGCAACAGGTAAGGTGACGCTGGAAGTTGCATCGCATCGCACAACAAGACGGAAACAGGTGAAGTAAGAAAGGAACGGGCATAGAAGGTCGTAGGGCAAAAAATCGTACGACTTTTTTCCGTACGACCGATGTCGCTGTGTGTGTTCCAGCCCTTAGATCGCTCGGTTGTCGTGACCGGCTCTCTACTACTTTAAAGGGGGGGGGGGGAATATTGTCAACCGTACGTTACGTTACATTACAGTGAGCAAAAAGTTGTTTATCACTTACAAGTATAGAAGTGACGACAGGTAGCCTAATTAACAGGAAAATGTGCGGATCGTCATGTGTGGTCCAGCACATTGTGTCTTCAAGCTTGACCCTCATCGCGACCCACGGAACCACAAACAGAACTGGTAACCCTGCGTGTTAGACACTGATTAAATATTGGTCTGTAGCAATTCTAAGTAACTGAGAAGACATGCCATGGTAAAGCAAAAGTCATTTCGAGAAACCTGAACATTTAGTTTTAAATGTTGTTACCTGTCCAAACTGAATGTACGTATAAATCTCGATTGAAATTTATGTTTCACGAACGGGAATATGGCTCCAATTTTGAACAAATTTCAAAATGACATTGAGATAACTATTGAAAATTCAACGTGAAGATCAGGCAATTATTTTCTCTAGCTGTGGTTTTCACACTGATAAGTGTTCCTTTGAAGAATTCTGTCTTCTTCGATGTGGCGTCGTGTAGATCCTGTGTGAACCGACGTTTCCGAGGAATATATCTCCTCTATTTTCAGAGTAGAAAAATCCGCTAGCTAGGAACCAGAGTGAGCAGGTGGCTGCAGACTGAGCCACCAGTCAAAAATACCCATCCCCTACTGGTGGCTCAGTCTGTATCCATCTGCTCACGTTGGTTCCTCGCTCGCGGATTTTTCTACCATGAAAATGTAGGCGATATGTTCCTCCGAAACGTCTGTTCACACAGAATCTACACGGCGCCACATCTCATAAGACGGCATTCTTCAAAGTTACCGCCGTGAAAACCTCAGATCTTACACATTTCCATTGATCAGTTCTTGCAAGTTTTAGCCCTTGAAGGCACTGGTTTCTCCGGAATTTTTTCCCCCAGGGTAGGAAGTCAGAAAATTCAATTACAGACTTGCGTTTAAACAGTTTAAAATTATTTTTAATAATCGTCCTAGGGTATTCATAATAGAGCAGCTCAAGACTAACCTCCAGATAGAGGCGTGCTGTGTTCAAAGAATACGTGACGTACCCCATCCAAGAATGACGTAGTGGGTGATGGCACTCGTGTCAGAGAAGAGAGCTAGGAAGATCAGGTTGTGTAAGTAAAGTCCCTCCATGAAAATCCACGTGTAGTTTGCTATGATGAAGTAGTTACAGATGGTCGTCAGAGCTTTGCAGTCCCAGTTCTGTTCAGAGAGACACACACAGAGCAGAAGTCCAGTTAGACATGCGCAGTATCTGAGATACCTGCCGCGGTAAGAATTTGTTTTGTGGCCTTTTGAGTTGACTCCGACTGGAGTGATGCTTTTAAGGAAGCTACTGTCTCCCTACTCTCCTGCAGGTTGCAGTTACCTGGAAGATATCTAATGCATGTATTTAATTAATTTATTTTTAAACGTAAAGCTATCGCTGTAACAGGCCGTGAAGGTTCATAGGGTTGTGAGACGTCGAGGCTCCCACATTTTCTAGAAAATCTATTCACAGATAGCAGTGAGGTTGTCAGCCTCACGCACCAGCCACAATTTTCCCCTAGAAAAATTCGTGGTACTCATCTCTTTTAGAGGTCGGGTCGATCCCAGGGCCATAGTGGGGCTGGAAGGATTAGGTCTACTGAAAAATCCAATTACCTTATCAGGAATCGAAAACGCTACTTTCCGGCTGGTAACATAGTGCCTCAACCAACTACGCTACTGAGTGCCCCAATTTAATTAATTTATATTGAATATTTTTATTATGATCTCCTGGATCATGACTCCGTGTAGTCTGGTGGATGGTTTTTGACGTATCAGAGGAACTGCACCATACTCTACTGTACGGTTCCATAAATTAGACGGTCTTAATCTAATGTATTTTCAAGTGTTCATGGCTCCGTGACCAATAATAACGGGTTCTGGATTTGATTTATTAACATTTTCTTTTGCAATCTCTCTCAATCACAATCAATTATAGCGCTATCACTAATCTACCCCCTTCACATATCACCAGGACACGCTCCATTTTCGTTCTTGTTCTCCGTTGTACTCCTTGTTCCCTTCTGCACTCCTCCAGCTGAACACTCAACTCGACTACTGAACTGAACTGAAATCCCAATCACTGTTCTGCTCCTGTTATATAGACTCGGGTCGTACCTCACGGAAAACACGTGCCACGTGTCAGAATGCGGGTTCATTTGCCCGCTATACGGCACTGGGCATGGCGCGGACGACGTAGGAAACATTTCAGCTATGAGAATTTTACGTTTCAAATCGAATACTACTACTGAAAGTTCTTGTTTTAGAACTGGTAGCTATGAAACATCGCTGTCTGGGTTATGAACTCACATTTCGGTCGGGCTTGAAATCCACCAAGCCACCTTCATCAACTTCTACGTCCTTGGCAAGTCCTACGCCCTTCACGAAGAGAATGTCTATCAGGAGTGTGATGAAAGCCCTCAGCATGAAGGACAGAAACAGATGAAGGTGCAGCATATTGCGAGGACAGCGTAACTTCCTGTAACAATGAAATGGACACAAATTGTAGGCCACAAGAACGGGTATTGGTTCCTCACTATGGCAGAAGTTTCTGTAGTGTTGAAGTCAAGATTCACACTATTTCTTACATAGTGGTCATCAGCGGTAGTAAAGTGTCCCAAGCGTGTGACTGACAAGTCATCTACATTAATGTTGAAGTCCAGAATGCGTAGAGATTTATTTTATGCATTATGCTACAAACCGGGAGGTCGCGGGTTCAAGTCCCGATGATGTCATTGGATTTTTTTCAGTTTACCTAATCCTTCCGGCCGCACTATGGCTCTGGGGTCGACTCAACCTCTAACAGAAATGAGTACCAGGAATTAATTAAATAATTTTCCTGGGGAGTAAAGCGCGGCCCGGGCGTAAGGCTGACAACCTTACCGCCATCTTTAAGCCGATTGTCTAGATAATGTGGGACCCTCAACGTCTCACAACCCTATGGGCCTTCACGGCCTGGTACGGGGATAGCTTTACTTTTTTTTTATAAGCCTTTATTATTACCGCCTCTGTGGTCTAGTGGTCAGAGTAACTGCCTACCGATCCAGAGGTCCGGGTTCGATTCCCGGCTCTACCAAATTTTCTGAGAAGTAGTGGGTCTGGACCGGGGTTCACTCAGCCTCGTGAGATTAATTGAGGAGTTATTTCAAGGAAATAGCGGTTCCGGTCTAGAAACCCGAGATTAACGGCCGTGGGGATTCGTTGCTCTGACCACGCGACACCCTCTATCCGTTAAATTTGACACTAGCTTCGCCGACAAGTGGCAGCCGCTCGGTCGGTATAGTTCGCTTGAGGACTACAGGCCACGGAGTTTTTTATAAGCCTTCATTATATGTCTATTAATTTCATGAACAGATTTACCTTCTCCTTTAAAACTTAATTGGCATTATTAAATGTTCACTTTAAATAAATTTGATTTTTGTTCATACTGGTCAAGTTTAATGCTTGCTTTTGCACAAAGTGTAAATTTTACCTTATATTTTTCTAGATAAATAGACTTACTGTATAAAAATATATTTCTTAAAGTTACATAGAATACGAAACTTGAATAAATAAAATAATTTTAGATAAAATTTTCCTTATTAATTATATTTAAACAAAACACATGCTAAACTATTTGTGCGTCTGAATAATGACGGCTCTGTACTCTTCACTAGGTTTGCAAACCCTGTATCTAAATATAGAATATGTATTTATTTATTCACGTTTTATTTTAGGACGCTATCAGTAGCTTACATTATATATAACATCTATTAGGAAGATCAGTATTGTACACACTCTGTATAATGAACTGAAAAATTTGTGAAACAATATTTTGAGAGATCATTCCGGAATTTGCTTAGAGGGACTGAGAAACTACGAAACTTCATTCAGGAGAGCCGGTATCCTGACCGAGATATGAGCTCGGAATATCCATAATGAGATGTAACGTTCTGTTTCTGTACAGAGTAGTATCTGCACTGTTGTATCTGCAATAAATGAACACTGAAGATCGAGAGAGTGATTCATAATCTCAAATAATATATTTGAAATAAATGTGTAAGCCGTTGTATTGTATGCCCTTCCAGACTTGTTATAAACTTACTTCATGACGCTGAGAAGACAGAATGCCACAGTCAGTGTTACCAACGAAACACTGTAACCCACTTGAGATACAGTTTTCAACACTGGTACCCATCTCTGCGAACAAAAATTTAAATTGAATTTATGATTTATGATCCATCATCCCTTCCGATTATTAATTAACTCTTAAATATTTATTAATTATTACAATAAAAGTCTATGAAATTTCAGCTTGAAATTGTTAATAACATCCTTCTTAAGAAATACCTGATTTCTTCGGAAATGTTGCGCACTACAATACCTACTCAAACATGCCTTACAATGCTATCATCTTTTGTTCCCATCCTTTACTATTGCCAAATCTGACAGCTAACATGCATACAGACTCCGTGGTCTAAGTCCGCAAGAGAACTATACCGACCTAGCATCCTCCTCTTGTCGGCGAAGTTAGTGCCAACTTTAGCCGATAGAGGACGTCGCGTTTTCAGCGCAACGAATCCCCACGGTCGTAAATTTCGGTTATCTAGAGCTGAGCTGCTGTTTCCTTGAAATAGCTCCTCAGTTATCGTCACGAGGCTGAGTGGCCCCCGTTCCAGACCCACTATCCCTCAGAAAGTCTGGTATCTCCGGGAATCGAACCCGGAACCTCTGGATCTGTAGGCAGGAACTCTGACCACTAGACCACAGGGGCGATCTATTTTGTGCAATCAGCCTTACAGAAAATAAGTTTTGTGTTGGTGTGTTTAAATTTCCTACCAGCATATGAATACTGGACGTATGTTAAAATACGATGTCGTGACTTTCTAATCATGACGTAACGGTCTACGTCACTAACTGACGATAACGTTACCTCGTCCCCAGTGTAGATGGAATACAGTATTCTTGATCGTAATGTATCTTACCGCCAGTAAAACAGAGTCCTCTATTGGGCCTATATGAACCACGTGCTCTGCGTTTTGTTGGGGGATACAGCCCTTTTCTTGTTTCAGGGACCAGGAACCGTTGTCTGCACACCATCTCATTGCAAATCCCTTCAAGATAAACAGATATATAAGTATTGAGCTACTGTAAAGGAAGTAAGAAATTGAGGACGGTGGCGTAGTTGGTTGAGCTACTACTCTACAAGCCGGAAGGTCTACGGTTCGATTCCATATAATGTTATTAGAAAATGTAAAAGGTAAAGCTATCCCTGTAACAGGCCATGGAGGGCCATATGCTTTTGAGACGTCGAGGCTCTCACATTATCTAGACAGTCGGTTCACAGATGGCGGTAAGGTTGTCAGCCTTAACCGCCGGTCACTCTTTACCCCCCAGGAATATTCCTGTTACTCATTTCTGTTAGAGGCTGAGTGGGCCTCAGGGCCTTAGTGCGGCTTGAAGGATTAGGTAAATCGAAAAATAAAATCCACCTCATCGGGAATCGAACCAGCGACATTCCGGCTTGTAGCATAGTGCCTCAATAAACTACTCTACCTTCAATTCAATCCTTCCAGCCGCACTATGGCCCTGCTGTCGACTCAGACTCTAACATAAATGAGTACCAAGATTCTTCCTGGGGGTAAAGGGCTGCCAGTGCGTAAGGCTGACAACCTGTGAGCTGATTGTCTAGAAAATGTGAGAGCTTCGACGTCTCACAAGCCTATTGGCCTCCATTGCCGGTTACAGGGATAGCTTTACTTTTTAAGAAACTGAGGACAAATTTAATTCGTTTCAAAAGCGATATTCACGACATCGAAATGAATGTAAACAAACCGAGCCCATTTAAATCTTAAACCTTCTGACATAATCGTGTTATAGTGTACCCAGCTCGAATCGGTAAGACCACATGGCGCCGAACGGGATGCGAAAGGAAGCCGTTGTAGTCCATTTTAAGGCACTGTCCGGGAAGTTGGCAGTATCACATGAATCCTCAGAATGGTTCTTATCGCGGCCGAGTTTCGAACCGGGAAACCTCGCGAATTCAAGTCAGAAGCGTTAGAGTTTGCGCCAGTATGCTCGGTTGTGCTTAATTAAGCACAGTGGCAGCTCTGAGAGACATGTAGAACATTGTAACATGAATTCAAGTGTGCTTACCTCTGAGACGAACCGTGCAATGTACTCAGGACAGGGTTCTGTTGCAAGAGTCCCTGGCAGGGCAGGCTTCCAGCACATCACACCGTCCCACATGACGTCACAGTACGTCGAATTTTCAGCAGAAACACCTAAAGGTAAATTTGCCCCTGTTCTTAACTAATTAAGCACTACGCTATGAAGACGTATGGGGAAGTTGATGTATAGCTCCACATTTCCTTGACCTCTGCATTAGTTGGAGGTGAATGGTCAGCTTCACGCCCCGGCCGCTTTACTCCCGGGAAAGAACCTCCGGTACCTATTAGATAGGAGGCTGGGTGGGCCCCAGAACCAGGCTGGACGACGTGGAGGAGAGAAAATTCTTGCCTCTACTGGGACTCGAACTCCGAACCCACGGTCATCCATCCATCAGCTAGGCGCTCTCATTACTGAGCTATCCCGGCTCATCTACAGAAACAAGTAGCCACTTTTATTCAGATCGCTGGCTTAGCTGTGGAGCATCTTCGTACCCACCACGATCATAATACTGGAAACTACGAAACTGAGAATATGAAATTTTAAATAATGAATTTACAGAGTAGTTTAAACAGAACAGTTTTGTATGAGATATGGGGTTCTGATGGTGATGATTATGCAGATTACTATCAGATTATCCTGAAGCCTGAGGCGGTAGCTCCCATCGAAACAGACGACAAGGCAGATAAAGGCAGTACGCCGTACCTCACGCGGTTAATCGTCAGCTTTCCACGACGATGACTCTAATTCAATCCCTGGTCAGGTCATGTGGGATTTATGGTGGTAAAAATTGTACTTGAGGTTTTCTCTGTGTAACTCCGTTTCCCCTGCCACTTATCATTTGTATTCATTAATCATTAACGGACGTTATGTTGCCTTGAGACGGAGAGTGTCGTAAAAAGAGCTAATTTAAAAAAACGTGTAAAGGAGAACAAAGATGTTACTATGAAGCGGGTTAGTTCAGTCGGTACAGAAAACTAGCCTGCGTTCTGAATGGCCAAAAGTCTGTGTTCGATTCCATGCTGAAGCGAAAGAAATGCTTTCCTTTGTACGAGATAAAGACCGACTATGGGGCTCACTCAGCCTCCTGCCCAATGAGTACAGGGGCCGCTTACCCCAGAGATAAAGCGGCCAGGTCGTCAAGCCAACCACTCGCCTCCGTCTGTTTCCAAGGTTATTAATGCATAAGGTCAGAGCAGGTTGGCGTAGCGGTAAAGTTCTTGGTTAGTACTGGCAAGGCTTTCTTTTCGAATCTTGTCCGGCACGTCGGCTAACATGATTCAGTGTTTTTCGTGGTTCTCCTCATTCTCTCCAGACAAATACCAGAATAGTACCTCGAATATGTGACGACCTTTTCCTTCTAAATTTCTTCCAGTTCGCTATAAATCTATCATCTCACCACTCGTAAGATAACCCATATAAAATAATGAGAGGAACTATACCTCCACTTCCCCATACTTCTTATCATGACGCTTATTTGTGCCGAGGACCTACTCTAGCGTTGTATTTTACCGTTTTTATTAAAGTAATTACCTAGATTCAGAAGCTATATATGTGCACAGGAACAGTGTGGTCGTACAGTTTGGTACTGACCTGGTTGGTGTGTACTTTGTGTGACGATACACTGCTGCTTCTCGATTTCCAGCTCTCGGTTTTGGTTGTCCATAAATGTCTTCAGCAGTTCTGCTGGAGTAATAGCTTGTCGTTCTGAAATGTTTGCGAAATAACATCTAAATGATGAAACGCAAATAGTGGCAGAGGAAAACCAGCAATGGCTTGAACAAAGGCTGGTGAAATACAGTAATTATAGGCTTACATCTTTCCACAAATTGTATAAAATAAAACAATGTAATTTAACACACTGATATATTGGGTTTCTGGGCTTTATCCATCGTCCTGGTTTTTAAGATAACAAATAAAAACACGACGTTTCGGAAACTGGATCTGTTTCCGTCCTCAGGTGAAGGAAAAGGGCTAGAAAGAGGGTTAGAAAGGGTTAGAAAGAGCTAGCTCTTTCTAACGGACCCAACAGAATAGGTGTTTCCCTTTTCCTTCACCTGAGGACGGAAACAGATCCAGTTTCCGAAACGTCGTGTTTTTATTTGTTATCTTAAAAACCAAGACGATGGATAAAGTCCAGAAACCCAATATATCAGTGTGTTATACACCATCGTCAGAATCCTATAGTAACTAAATGTAATTTAAGTTTTGTCAGTTCGTTATTTATAAGGGACTTCGCTAGAGATTACTAGAATCCACACAAAATATATTCCTACAAATTAATTTTGATAAATTATTCTATTTTACACAGTGTTGAAATAAAATCTTATAGATTGTAAGAACACAGTTATCGTGCAATAAATTAATATATTATTTAATTATTTCAGTACGTCTGACGATGTGTAAAATGTCTTTGAGATGTTAGCTTATGTTAGATTATTTAAGTTCAAGTTAAGTTCGGTTTCGTTACGGTTACGTATATAAATGTACTTACTGGCTGTTTTTATTCTAAAATTAGCTAGATAGGTTATTGAGCTTGCAAGTTTTAGGTGTAACAATTCTTGCTACTTCTAACATTTAACAAATTACAAGAAAATATAACTTGCGATTGTGCATTGTTACGTCAAGAGTGAAACAATGGATCGCTATATGCATTAATGTATTTGTATGCACGATTAGTGAATATCGTGTCCGTTAGGTAGGCTGTACAGGATCGCAAGGAAAGCTTGCTCAAAATATCTCCACCCGTGGTAAAAAAGAATGCTGTCATGTAGTGAGTAAATTTTTTTCTTTTTTCTTCCGTGAATATTTGTCGAAACAGTGTCAGGGTTAAATGACAATTGTTGTTTTATACCTTCTTTATCTGAAGCATAAACGAACCGGTTTGCGCGAAAAGTATGGCTCTTTAACAAAAGTCCTCTTATTATTGAATTTGAATTAAATATCATATAGAATAACATAATTTAATTATAATCCTAATTGATACTCTCACCTGATAAGGGTGACTATAGACGCTATTTGGATTGGTAACCGAATTTATTGAACACTTACAGAACGTAAATACAAATAACTACGACAGTCTCAAAATGACAGGCCCTGAAATGAAATTTATAGGACGAACGGAGAATTGCAGTTTGGTGAACTGTAACAGAAACGAAGACATTGTTAAAAAAGATAAAAATAGAATCCATATTGAACAATACTGCGAAATATAAAGCCAATTACATCCAACACATCGGTAGAATACAAAGATAATTTGTATAATTATGAACCGAATAAGCCGTTTGAAGAGACTATTTCCTGTCTTAAACATATCTGAGGTTACGTCATGTCTTGAGTGGGCAACCTTACGGAATAAAAAGTCCCGCGTGCTCTACAAATCTCCGGTATGGTGATTTGGGTTACCATCTCATATTCAGACTTGAATCTAGTAACTTTGGGGGCGGGGGGATGACGCAATGATCTACTTCACTATCTAATAATGACGGAACCTCAAAGATAATTTCGACTTTGCACTGAACGAATGAGGCCGTAATGGATCAACAAATGGCCCAATTCAATGACTGCTAGATGATCATAATGATGATGACGTTATTGTAAGCTGTTCGTACAAAGTTTCATCAAGATCCAGAAAGTCATGTGTGCCTTTAAGAGATTTCTGTTCACATGTAAAGTACACTCTATAACCTACACTGTACACTATAAAGTAATGTTTATGATTATTATCACATTTTCTCACAGTTATAATGTTATCAGACTAAATGAACCTTATGCGCTGCAATTATCAGAACCTGCCTCGTGACGGAAAACATCCGAGCACTGCTTGCGTTAAGAAGAGAGATGATAGAACACGGGTCGCCTGCATTGTGGCCTGATCGACTGTCCGTCTGCGTCCCGTCTGAACGGCGTGACCCCTGACTTGCCGGGATAGCCAACACACGGATCGGATTGTGACGTCAGGACTCAACACCTGCTGCAAACATGCGCTGTCTCACCCTAGTGTCTGAGTGACAAACAAGACTCTTACTGAAGGGTATTTCTGGGATGTGACGTAACAGAGAAATTCATCGATGTTACGAAGAAACATACTGTCTCCATCTTCAAGGTCCAAAACTAAGCCAAGTAACTAAGAGAGACAAGCAGCAAACCTCAGTTTACTGTTTATTACTTGCTCGTTATTTGACTGGCCACTGATGTTTCGAAGGAATTGATGTCTCCATTTTTGGAGTTGGTTGAGGCGCTATACTACAAGCCGGATGGTCGCGGGTTCAAGTCCCGATGAGGTCATTGTATTTTTTTCAATTGACCTAATCCTTCCAGCGGCACTATGACCCTGGGGTCGACTCAGCCTCTAACAGAAATGAGGACCAGGAATTTTCCTGTGGGGGGTAAAGGGCGGCCGGTGCGTATGGCTGACAACCTCACCGCCATCTGTGAGCCGATTGTCTAGAAAATGTGGGACCCTCAACGTCTCACAACCCTGTTGGGCCTCCACGGCTTGTTACAGGGATAGCGTTACCTTTACCTTTAAAAGTGAACCAAAGAAGTAACAAGCAAGGAGCAACCTGAAGTTTGCTGCGCGTGGCTTATTTTTAGACCCAGAAGTTGGAGGCAGTAAATCTCTCCGAAATGTTGGTGAACGTCTACAGAACTACATTGTGTAACATCCCGGACTGTAGAACTCTTTATGCAATGTTCTTATTGTTCCATGCAGAGCAGTATACATACAGGGGAAGCGCCAGGAGCTGTTGTCCAGAGGCCCCCACAAAACAGAAGTAGCGTATAGGGCCCAACATAAAGACATCGCGGATATAAGGCGACCCCTTTTTAATAAAAATATGATTTATTTCACAAAAATTAGTATGTCCATTTTTATGAGGGTAGTAAGCAGTAGTAAGCAACGTTTAATGCCTTAAATATAATTATATAGACATTTTCATAAATGTCATTAGAATTAGCAGTTACAGCTCCTCATAATCATCCTCTTCAATTTATTCTTAAGGGCCCGAAAAAAGGCGACCCCTCTTTTCTAAGCAGTATTAAAGAGAAGTAGCTCAGTAACCTTATATTCAGGCAGGGGTAAGAGGTAGCGTAGTTGGTTGAGGCACTATGCTACAAGCCGGAAGGTCGCGGGGTCGAATCTAGATGAGGTGGATTTTTTTTTTCAATTTACCTAGTCCTTCCAGCCGCACTATGGCCCTGGGATCTACTCAGTCTCTAACAGAAATTAGTACCAGGAATCTTCCTGGGGACTAAAACGCGGCCGGCGCGTAAGGCTGACAACCTCAACTCTATCTGTGAGCCTCCACGGCCTATTACAGGATAGCTTTACTTTTCAGGGGCTTTATACAGGATATCATATATATATATATATATATATATATATATATATATATATATATATATATATATATATATTTTATTNTGAGGTCGACGTTGTGATAATGAAGGATGATGATGTAATAAGAGAGGGCAGGGGAAAAGTTAGACGAAGGAGAGAAAATTTGGGAAGAAGAAGAAGAAGAAGGAAAAAAAGAGAGAACTGTAATAAAACGGATGGAGGAAAAGAAAGAGCAGTAAGGAGGAGAAGGAGATATAAGGCGAAATGGGATTATGAAATAGGAGGGATAAAAGGAAAAGTATGAAAAGAAGATCCAAGAAAATTATCTGAGTCTGAATTGAAAAATAAATTCATATCGACTCGAGAACTCGATATCGCCTGTAACCTTGGTATGGATTCTTCCGTGATGTTTAATATGCGTCTTCAAGCATAATGTAAATGAACCCCCCCCCCCATAAAAAGGCCCATGCAATTTTAAAACACTTGTGTCCCTGACATTAGGATGAGGTCGCGCCTGAGTGCTGTGACCCGCTTGGCAACAACCTCTGCTCTTTCCCCGAGTCATTCCAGCCTGTGGCCTTCAAGTTCATCGGGTGGCATCAGCTACCTAGTACCGGATGTCCAGTGTACTTAATAGAATCTGCATGGGATTTCTGACACCAGTTGGCTCAGCAAGCCTGTTGTTTACTCTTACTTTTCGCAATTAAGCCAGGAGTTTTCTGTCTGCTATCGAACAACACATGGAGCTGTTTGTAGCCTATACACTCAGGAATAGATCACCGGATAATGTAATTGAGGATGATATTTCCTTATTCAAAAGAAGGTATTAACGTTCATGTGTGTGATTCGATGCCTGTTACGTTCTGATGTTTATACTGATTCTGTATGGGTGGGAAACTTGGTCTCTGACATTAAGGGAGGAACATATACTGGGAGTGTTTGAGAACAGGGTCTTGAGGAGAATATTTGGGACGAAGAGGGATGAAGTGACAGGAGGTTGGAGAAAATTGCATAATGAGGAGCTTCATAACTTGTACTCTTCTCCAAATATAATTAGAATGATCAAGTGAAGGAGGATGAGGTGGGCAGGGCATGTAGCACGAATGGGGAGAAGAGAAATGCATGTAAGATATTGGTGGGAAAGCCAGAAGGAAGGAGACCACCGGGAAGATCGAGGCGTAGGTGGGTGGACAATATTAAAATGGATCTTAGAGAGATAGGATGGGAAGGTATGGATTGGATTGATCTGGCTCGGGATAGGGACCAGTCCAGGGCTCTTGCAAACACGGTAATGAATTCTCGGGTTCCATAAAATGCTGTGAATTTCTTGAGTAGCTGCAGATTTGGCTTCTCCTCAAGAAGGGCTCAGCTCCATAAGTAAGTAAGTAAGTATGCTTTACCGTGTCTCACGGTGTTGTCGCTTGCAGATTTACCTATACTTTTTCTTCAACCCTGAAGATGGGGGCGATACGTTCCTCCGAAACGTCGGTTAACACCACATATACACGGCGCCAAATCCCAGAAGACTGCTTTCTTCAAGTATACTAGCGGCCTCCGTAGTCTAGGGGTAACGTTCCCACCTCATGGCTCAAGGTACGCGGGTTCAAACCCGGCGGAGGTCGTGGAATTTTTAAGGGCGGAAAAATTCAGGGAACAAGTCCTCCGGGAGGGACTTGAAGGCGTGGGTCCCGTGTCGTAGATTTACGGCACGTAAAAGAACCTCATGTCACTATGAGACCTCTGAGCTAAATTTGGCCAAAAGTTTCCCGCCCAAAGTAGTTTCCAATGCCTCCGGTAGATGGGGAAGTATTAGGTACCCTTGCCAGAGGAGGGGCGACCTCTCTGACAGAAAGGGACTAACTATTAGATACCACTGCCAGTAGAGGATCGGAACCTCGCTGGCAGAAAGGGGCTGATAGCGAGCACCAGTACCAGTAGGGTATGGAGACAGTAGAAATTAAATGGTGAATACTGAAGTAAGTATACTGATTGTTGCGGTGTGGTTATCAGCATGAATAGATGATTATGTATGATTTAGGGAAAATAAAGTTGAACCTTTAGGCGGTCACGGTAGCCGAGCGGTCTAAGGCATGTACTGTCTTCGCTCGCTCGGAAGCCGGGATCATGGGTTCGAATCCCACTCAGAGCATGGATGTTTGTGTGCGTTTTTCTGTGTTTGTGTACAGGTAGAGGCCTTGCGACGAGCTGATCACCCGCCCAAGGAGTCCTACCGAACATGTGAGATGTAGAATAACCGAAGTGAACGGAGAAGTTCATGGAGGTAGGCCTAGGCCCACTGGGGCTGTAGTGCCAAGGGGGGGGGGGGAAGTTGATCTTTTACTTAATTACTTAAGCACCACGCCTTGAAGACATGTCGGGGAGTGGAGGTATAGCTCCACCATTCTTGACCTCGGCAGTAGATGTTGATGAGTGGTCGGCTTCACGTCCCTGCCGCTTTATCCCCGAGAAAGAACCCGCGATACCGTTTGATAGGAGACTGCGTGTGCTTTAAAACCTGTGTGGACGCTGTGGAGTAGGGAAAAATATTTCGTTCCTTCCGGGAATTGAACTCCGGCATTCCGACCCAGTAGCCAGGCTGTATACCGACTGCGCTATGTTCATCCACAATGTTAGGAAGCATAACATTTTTGTTTGGCAAGTGTTCTGTTAGTTTCAGATTTGCACTAATTTTCGAAGAGAGTCTTTCAAGCAGGTGACATGCAGGGTCGGATTTAAGAAGAAGCGACTGGGGCGGTTGCCCTTGGGCCTCCACAAAACAGGAATAGTATCCACAGCTTTTATTGAGACGTTTCTTTCTCTAAAATCACGAAGAGTTAGATCGTATTTTTGGTTATTATGAGAAATACGAAGAAGTGAACTGACATAACCTAAGTTTATTATAAATTTAGCCCTGATGACACACATAAAATCTTCTTCTCGACAAAGAAAAGCATTTATGAAATCTTTGAATAGGATTTTCCGAGGTTAGGCTCAATGTATCATCAAATTAGATAGAAAAATTACAATGAACTGTGAATAGGTAAGGGCATTGAAAGATGCTTCGTTTGTTTCTCCGGAGATGCTGTTGGTGTATCGGCTTCCGTGTAGAGACAACAACGAGAGTCTCAGTCAGCAGAGACGGTAAATCCAGAGATGATCGTAACGGGATATCTACAGTTTCATTTCTGCGATAACCCGCTAGTTGACAAGACGAACCAGTCTATATGTTTTTTAATATTAGATTGGCAGAAAGAAAATCCTCTCTTAGGACGCGATAAGCTCTTAAACTTTATGATGTATACAAATGATCGATCTCATTTGAGGGGTAACGTCTATTTTTTTGCTGTATCCAATTCCTCTGTATCGTCCCTTAGTAACACAACTAGTTTCTACAAAGTTGTCTCTTAGTGTAAAGTCATGAAACAATATTTGCCGTCATGCCTTTCATTTTGTGGACAATGGGAGATACAGTTACGTCAACAAATGCACGTATTCATTTTATGAAAATTTATTTTCACAAACTTTATTGTTTATTGTCCACTGTTTATGTTCTCTTGCGAAGTTACGT